GGTTGCAGACATGGACAATGTTAGACAGCTTTCCACGAGGAGGAGAGGGTTGTTTGGCTGTGCGGACTGGGTCATCGATGGTGATACTCACACCCGACTTCTGCTGGCTAATGGAACGCCGAATCAGTGTGTCACTGGGAGTGACTAAGCAGGAAACAAAAAAGGAGAAAGGGGTAAGGGAGACTAAAAACAGACTCTGCTTCTATGGAACACAATGTGAGACTTTTCTATGTAAAACTTCCATAAATTTCACACTACTGCACGCACACACAAAAAATAATAATTGAATGTTCCTTTTGTAATTCTCACCTGTCTTCATTTCAACGTCTCGCCCAGGGGACGACGGCGCCGTCTCCATGGAAACCTGAATGGAGCTTTCCATCTTTTCCTCCTGGCTAAGTGTATCCTGCCCTTCACTTCTTTCTGCCTCATCCTCATGTTCACTTCTTTTAGATTCTTTCTGTCCATTCTCTTGTGTGTTAGAGGGCACAACCTGTTCAGAAGGGGGGGGCGGGGGGCAATAGATATTTTACCAAAAGATTATTCCAACATATGCAAATAATCAAACACACATCTTTACTTCTAGTAGAGGGAAAACATGCACCTGTGTTACAGTTCGCCTAATTTTCAGGTCTTGGTCACCCCTTTCTCCTCCTTCCTCCTCCCCAGAGAGATGCATCTCCTCCGGATGCAAGTCTAACACAGCCTCCTGACCCAAAGCAGGCTTGATGTCAGGTATTAAAGACTGTACAGAATGAAGAATGCATTATGTTACGGTTCATCAGATGAAGGAAGAAGTGGATATTTTTTTGGGGTGGTTATTTTTTTAGAATAACAGACATCCCTTTAATTTTTATTTCTTATTTATCTGACCTTCAAAGAGTCTGTGGTGATACTGATGGAGGGTTTCTTGGCAGTGACAGCTGTACTGGAGCCCCATCTTCTTTTCCTGCCAGCGCCAGCACTGCTTGCGGCCTCCGCTTCTCCCTCAGAACTCACCACCCCAGGAGACTGTTTGCTGCCTGAGGGAAGATAGCATATGGCCATCGTCGACATCTTTGATTTTAAAGCTTTATGGATTTCATACTTATCACCATTGTATTATTGAGACTCTGTAAAATAACATATTCAAGAGTTTGCAGGTCAGCAAAAAAATTTTATTGGAAGAAATTAATACTTTTATTCAGCAAGGATGCATTAAATGGTTCAAAAGTTACAGTAAAAGAAAATCTTTTTTTTTCTTTTTCTCTATTCATCAAAGAGTTCTAAAAAAAATTGATGACACGAGTATTAAGCAGCATAACATTTATAATAAGAAATTTTTTGAACACCAAATCAGCATATTATTAAATGATTTCTGAAATACCATGTGACACTGAAGACTGGAACAATGGCTTCTGAAAATTCAGGTCTAACAAATTATTACACAACCTTATACCTTTTAAACAGTAGTGTATACAGTGAATGATCTCTCCAAATTAATCACTTCAGGGGAAATGTGGAGATACTCACTGCCGAGAGAAATCCTTCGGGCCGAGAAGGTCTTTGGCGTGGTGCTCTGAAAGAGAAAAAACACACCCAAGCCCGGGGAAAAGGTGAGATCGTATATATGGAAAGAAAGCACAAGATTCAGAGTGTGGAAAAATGTGTGTGCGTGTATGAAGGAGATAAAACTGAATAACAAATAGAGACCAAAAGAAAGTGAGCCATCAACAAGGAAATGGGTAAACAGATATGAAAGGAAATCTATTAGGAAAGACCGCCTCTTCAGTAAGAGTGTGTACACACACAGTGAGCGCATGTTTTTCATGTGTTTAGAAGTTATCTATTTCTATTATGTAATCTATTTCTGCTCTGAAGATGCAGTCTTGTCCTCTCCTACACAAAAATACTTTTTAAAAAGGCTTTGCTGCAGTTATCTATCTCACTGAGCAGCCCCTCAGGTTGAAATATCCTTTGAGGCGGTTACTGTAGTGAGGAATTAAATAAAGAATTGTTTTTACATTAGCTCTGCAGTGGCCTTATGTATAAATATACATCTACTCTTTATCCAGTAGACAATAGCTCCATTTTAGGGTTACCATGGAGTCTTGGCAAATATTAGTATTGTCTAGGCAAAACATTTAAAGTAGAAAATGGAGAATGACTACTTATTTCCCGGTACCATTGACACATGTTCTTCACTCGGTTGTGAATGGCCCAATCGCACGTCTGCATGTACTGTATCTAGGCAACAACAGTCCAATCAAAGAAGGATGGGAAGTTTGGGCAGAGATCTGAGAGCAGGCTGGCAGAAGAACTCTCATGTAGAACAATGTGGGTGGAGTTTGAGAGGCTCTGAGTGTCTTTTTTGAAGTCCATCGTATTGGCATGAAATCGGAACGTGGGAGGAGTCTTTCAAACTAATTGCTGAGAAACCTTTCAGAAGACTGAGTCAGTTTTATTTGTGAAGATGTCCATGTTACGAGGAAGACTGCACAAGGTTTCTGTCTGTTCAGGTTGAATGATGCAGTTTCAGTCAAGCAGCCACAAAACAATGAAACAGATCAAGTCCATTTTCAAACTATCAGTTAGGTTTGATCATGATAGTCCACAGAAAAATGAGAAGGCAGTAAAATCCAGCACATCCAGTTGTTGTGCTAAAGTGCATGATATCAGAGTTCAAAATTTTCTTGGGAGTTAAGACAACACATCATGGTTTTTCCACAGGATAAAGAAATAAACTAGTCCCATTATATAGCAAACAACTGGGACAGTCGCTGGAAAATGTCTCCATTAAAGCCAAAAAAGTCACACTGAACAGTTCTGAAGATGTCCATTTATTTGCTTACGGTTTCTGGGAATCTCATTTCCACCCTTGCTGCCATCTTGAGCCAAACTGACACAGGCTCATGAGACACTCAGCAAAACGTCACACCCATATTACTCAGCCTTTCATTATCAGTCCAATCAACAGGTGCTTCCAGCCAACGCCATTGAGGAAACGTGGCCATTGTTGCCTGGTGTGTTGCACTGCAGAGCAGACTCAAGGGCCTATCAGGTAAAGCCATGGCGCTTGGAGACAGTGGAACAGATGCTGTAGTAGAAGTAGTAGTTGTATGCAGGTACCAATAAGGGCAATGGAAGAGGCATGAGCACCTTTACAACAAAGCAATCAAGGGGATTTTAAACATCAGCCAAAGTGAGAGAGTGCCCCCTGCTGCTTCTGTCTAGGACAGCTTCAGCAAAGGTTCACACAACATCATCTGTGACCACAAAAAAGGGCAAATAATACATAGAGCTGCTAAATTAGCTTATGTACAAGTGAACATAATTAGTAATGCCTGTATGTACCTGTAATAACAATGCATTTGTATTGAAAAATAAAGGGGAAAGGAGACAGCCATTTATAAAACCTATCCTTTTAATGTGGGGGATAACTGGCGACTGGTAGAGTTGGGTAAGCCCAGCACTCCTCTGTGCTCTTACCTCCTCACTGCTCTCTGGAACCTTCTCAGGCTCCGCCATGACAGCCTCCTTCACCTCACTACTGAGAAAGACAGGAGCAAAGAGAAAAGGGGGGAAAAAGAGGGGAGTATGTAAAAATAATAAGTCTCAATTTGCTATAGTCACAGTAAAAGCCTTTTTTTTTTTTTAAGAATTTACAGGGATGAAAAGTTAAAATTTACTCGCCCTCAACAGTTATTAGGCAAAATAAGGTCTCAGTCTCCATTCACTTTCATTGTATGGGGAAAAAAAATGCAATGAAAGTGCTTGTGACTGAGGTTAATATTTTGCTTAACATCTCATCCTCTTTTCCATATAAGAAAAAAAGTCATACAGATTGAAACAACACGAATGTGAATAAACAATGACTATAAACAACCCATAAATTTTAGGCAATTTAGAAATCCTGGCCAGGACGTGTCTGAGGGAAAAGATAGGACCTATGGTCAGCCTATTGAAATGACACTTTTAAATGAACACTACTAATCTAGTCAACCAGAATCAGTCAACTCCATATGGGAAAAAAAGAGCAATTTATGACAACTTACAACGAACAGTGTATCCTGAAATGCACACAGATCCCTACAATATCCACTACCTCCAAAAAAGAGACTGATCAATCATCTCTACAAACACCCGCAACAATTGCAGGCCTGCTTTTACAAAAAACAACAGCTCCAGAAAAAAAACCTAATATTTCTGTGCTGTATCTATAACCTTGCGAATGCAGTCTCACATTGACATCCAAATTAAAGCTCCAGGCTACATGTCGACTAAATGCAGCGCTCATCCCGCAGAGTGGAGTGACACGCGTGGCAAAGCGTTACTGTTTGTTTTTATTCTCTTTTAGATCGTTCAAATGGCCGACAAAAGAAGCAAAATACGTGCGCCCTGATACTAACACATCACTAGCACATAAAGAGACATGATAAAAACCGTTCCGCCGCATTGTGGGATGCGAGTACATGAGTGTAGCGCCGAGCATCATCTCTTTCCTCCCCGTCGAGCAGCATAATGCACAATGAGATCAAGCATCTATCAGCGATTCTCTAATGACTACAAACGGACGGGACTTCGCGAATTCATTGCACACCGCTCGCCCAAAGCTAACGGGCCACCCTGAGCCCCGTGGTATTGGTCAAACGCGTAGTACATCCATGTTAGATGAGAGAAAGAGAGGTGCGCGAGACTCACTTCGGCAGGACCCATTATCACCGGTTGAGAGGCAGCCGCACTGATTGCCTGTTCTTAATCCACACGACTTCAATAACACGCTCTTGAAACGAGCTACATGCCGTTTTGGGGAGGAACTAAAAAGCTAGCGACGCCACTAACTTATCTACGTTAGTAGCGCAATAGTAACTGTTTAAAACAGTGAATCTTTAAGCCGTGTTGTTGCGTTATATCGTATTGGAAAGTCCGATTCGTTTTAAGTGAATCGGGTTGATCGAGCTGTTCAAAATGATTCCCAGATTCATTTGATTTCATTATATCTTCAGTTTCGACGCAAATTATACAAGATAGATAAATAAATATTATAAAATAAATGATTGTATGTTTGCTGGTTCCACCCCTTCTTTATTTGTCCATAAATGCAGGCGTTTCTGAGGGCTAAAATTATGTCTCATACATTTAATATCTGAAGCAGGAGAACAGACACAGCCATATGCAAATCAATCAAAGCAGCTTACAACCAAAAAGACATTTATAACCTCTATTTTGGCAACATACAAAACTGCGATGACAGCAATTACAATTCCATCTCATTTTGCATTACCTCACATGGCTATTTAGATTATTTAAATGTGATGCATGTAACTGTAAAATTCTTTCTCCTACCTCAGTTTAATGTGCAAAGATATAAGTAAAATATTTGTATCATGGACAGCATTAACACTGGTTCTTTGATGTTTCAACATTGCTGTTAGTTTTTGTATTCAAAAAACTAATTATTGCATATTGCTGGTACACTAGCTCAAACTGGCGTCCTTGGCAGTACAGGACAATAATTCCAAATGACAGGATACAATTTGTATGTGTTTCCTGGGTCCAATAAATAGACTATGCAGGGACTCAAGCAGCCAAAACTTTTCACTAATTTTACATGAAGACCTTAAAACTGTCAATCAAATTCTTTCATCTTAACCCACTTCATAATCACCATATTTGATCTCTGCTTGGATATCCATCCCTTTTTAACTGCATTAGTAATGTTTTCATTCAACCCATGATTTCTGGTGTACAAATATAATCAAAGTAGATTGTAGACAGACCTGGTAGTGTCTTTGTTAGTGTCATCTTCGTCAATATCGTCATTTCTTCCCCTTGTTTCCTTCTCATCTTGTAGTTCAAGGCAGGGTTTCTAAAATATATAGAAAAAGTAGAGTATATAAAAAGGTTTGTCCAGTGTCTTGCACAGACTGAGCCTATCGAATGGCAATCAAAGTAGCACAATATAATAGTTACTCTGACTAGACGTAGGGTGTTAGAACCAAATTCATTTTGTTTTTAAAATTTAGCTGCTTGCTAACCTTGGTTTGGATGACATCCTCATTGCCCATGTCTTTTTCTTCCTGCTCTATGAAGACTCGTTTTTTGCGTTGGGCGGTTGGAGGCTTTTCAGCCACAGTTTGACCAACTTTTTCCGTGGGCTGAGATGAAGAATCTTTCTGGACCTCTTTAGACTGAGGAAAATAGAAAATTGGGCTGCATGATTATGACAAACAATCATAATTGTCGATTATTCCCTTGAAATTGTAATTGCGATTATTAATTACGATTATCACAATTTACATTGAATGATGTTTATACCATTTTTAGATGCAACTGCATGCCGTATTTTTATATGAAAATAAACAAGCTGAAAACACTCGAACTGAAAAACCTTTAGTGCTTTTCTATAGTATTAAGCCTCAAATGTCAAATATACATCGGATTGGTTTCTTCTTTAAATTATAAAAAAAAAAGTAAAAATATGAATGGTATTATAATGTTATACTAAAACAATGGGAAAACCTTTAAGATAACGTAGAAAGAAAAAAAAAACATACCTTAAGCGTGCAAAATAACATAAGTGGACTTTGAACGATTAATTGCCGCTTTGAACGATTACGTAATTGTGGCATCCATAATTTTAATTGCGATTAGAAATTCGATTAATTGTGCAGCCCTAATAGAAAGTAAACTTAAGATATGCTTAAAATTTTGGGCATGTAAAAAAAGCATTTTGCATGTATGTATGCAATTCAAGAAAAAAAAAAAGTGAATTATAAACAATTGGTGAAATTATATAAAAATGAAAGCCTATTTCAACTCTTTCCTTAATTTGAATAAAAAGGACAGTTTCATGCTTATAATGCAAGTCTACGGGGCAACACGCCCCAAATTGGACCCACGGATTAAAAGTGGATATTTGTTTGTATGCGTTGTGATAATAGAACCTGAAACATTCCTTTTAATGTTTTACCCACCATTGTAGTGCTTTAGTTTAGAATTCAGTTTTAGAAGTTTATGGTCTTGCAAAATGAACAAAAAGCTAAACGTTTGATGTAATGGCACTTTTCCACTGCATGGTACGGCACGGTACGGCTCACTTTTGGGGGGTTTTCCACTGGGTACAGTACCTGGTACTTTTTTTAGTACCACCTCGGTTGAGGTTCCAAGTGAACCGCACCGTTACCAAAACGTGACGTGTAAACTCTGCTGATCACGGATTGGCCGGAGAGAATCGTCACTACCTGCGTCACTGAACTTGCGACACAAACACAACAGAACTGCTAGATTTAAATCTGCACAGCCAGCGAAGGATCGAACTGTTTTGAACAAGCGCAACTTTTTTTCGCTTTTTTTTTGTTTCGTTGTCTGTTGAGGAAGTACAGACATTCCTCTCGTTGATAGCAGAGGAGCGAATTCAGCGAGAGCTTGATGGGGCGACGTGGAATGAAAAAGTTTTTCAGGAGTCGCGTCAATAGAGGCATGTGCTTAATGACATGTGAATAATCCCGCCCACTCTAAAGCGGTACTGAACTGCAGTGGAAACGCAAACCAAGCCGAGCCGAGCCGTGCCATACCACGTAGTGGAAAAGTGCCATAATTTACACATGCAGAAGAAAACGAGACACAAGAAAAAAAATGCCAAGGTTTGAAATGTATCATGAAATGGGAAAAAAATCTTAATAGCTCAGGCAATCAATATTATTTAGTTTATGCCCCTGTATGCTAGCTCTCTAATGCTAATGTCCTTCTGCCATTTATTTCACCACTGATGCCATTTTTGAGGAGCATGAAATTATAGATTAATTCTGACACTTGATTACAATGCTCATGAACAATGTCTCCAAAGTGTTTAAAGAGAGCATGAGCGAGCAAGCCTAACGGAAAAGATGAGAAACCTTTGAACCACTCACCTTCCTACCATCTGAAGTGGAATGACTTTTCTCCTCCTCCTCTGATGATGATGAACTGGAGGAGCGTGAGGAGGATGAAGACCCAGAATCTGAGTCGGATGAGGAGGAATCGCTAGAGGATGATGACTTTCTTTTTTTCTTCTCCACCTCTTTCTTTTCCCTTTCCCTACCTCTTTTCTTCTCCTCTGGAGGAGGTAAAGGAGATTTCTCCTCATCCTCAACTCTTCTGAGAGTCTTATGTTTAGTGTCTTTGCTTGCCTCACTATCCTCTGACGTCTCCATCTTCGCTTCCTCTTGTGGTGCATGTTGTTGGGCAGACATCTTGGGGGTTTTGCTCTCAAGCTCATGAGGTGCTGAAACAAAGACTGATGTTTGATGAACCTGAGCGGCATCTTTTTCCTCAGGCTTAGATGTTAATGGAATTGACGGGGCTTGTGGCATCGGGCTATCTGAGAAAGTACGAGGTCTCTTCAGCACAGAAGTTGGAGAGGATGGGAGAGGAGTTGTCAGAGGGGCATCTCTAAGGAAGCGGGACTTCTTAGAAGAAGATTGAGGAGACGGTTTTGTAGCAGCTATGGGTGACTGCTGTGGGACAGGCTCTGTAGATCGAGCATCTTTGCCAGTGCTCTGAGGTTCACCGGTCTCACTCTCGTCGGGCTTCTCCGTTGGACTTTCCAGAGAAGCAGCATGAGGATAGGAGAGACCACCGATATCACGACCACGCTTCCACAGAGGAAGACGACTTTCTCTTTCTTTCTCACGTTCCTCCTCTTTTTCAGGTTTCGAAGCCTTTTCTTTTTCCTCCTGGACTCTTTTTTGCTCCAAAAGTCTTTCCCTTTCCTCCAAAGCTCTCTGCTGCTCTTCTTTTAAAGCCCTCTCCTGCTCCTCTCTCTCTTTTTCCAAAGCTCGCTCTCGCTCCTCCTCTGCTTTCCTATGTGCTTCTCTCTCAAGCTCAAGAGCTTGTTCTTTCTGCAACCGTTCTTCTTCCAAAGCTTTCTTTTTCTCAATTATTTCTCGCTCTTGCCTCTTGCGTTCCAGAGCAGCTTCTCTTTCATGTCTTTCTCTTTCCAAAGCCCTCTCTTTCTCCAGCCTTTCCTGTTCTTTGGCCCTCTCCATTTCTTGTCTCTCATTCTCCAAAGCAGCTTCTCTTTCCAGCCTCTCCCTCTCTAGAGCTTGTTCTTTTTTCTGCCTCTCTCGTTCCTGCCTTTCCTTCTCAAGCTGCTCTCTTTCCAATCTCTCCCTCTCTAAAGCTTGTTCTCGTTCTTGTCTTTCCTTCTCAAGCCGCTCTCTTTCCAATCGCTCCCTCTCTGAAGCTTGTTGTCGTTCTTGTCTTTTCTTTTCAAGCCGCTCTCTTTCCAATCTCTCCCTCTCTAGAGCTTGTTCTCTTTCTAGTCTTTCCTTCTCAAGCCGCTCTCTCTCCAATCGCTCCCTCTCTAGAGCTTGTTCTCGTTCTTGTCTTTCCTTTTCAAGCCGCTCTCTTTCCAATCTCTCCCTCTCTAGAGCTTGTTCTCTTTCTAGTCTTTCCTTCTCAAGCCGCTCTCTTTCCAATCGCTCCCTCTCTAAAGCTTGTTGTCGTTCTAGTCTTTCCTTCTCAAGTCGCTCTCTCTCCAATCTCTCCCTCTCTAGAGCTTGTTCTCGTTCTTGTCTTTCTTTCTCAAGTCTTTCTTTCTCGAGTCTCTCCCTCTCTAAGGCTTGTTCTCGTTCTTGTCTTTCTTTCTCCAGCCTCTCTCGCTCCAATCTCTCCCGCTCTAAAACTTCCTGCCTCTCTCTCTCCAGTCTCTCCTTTTCTTGCCTCTCTCGTTCCAGAGCTTGTTCTCTCTCGAATCGTACTCGCTCTCTTTCCAACGCTTGTTCTCTTTCAAGCTTCTCTTTCTCTTCCCTCTCCTGCTGTAAGGCATTTTCTTTCTCTTCCCTTTCTCGCTGTAAAGCCCTCTCCCGTTTCAGAGCTTCTTCTTGCTCCTGTCTTTCCCGCTCCAAAACTCGTGCTCGCTCTTTTTCCAATGCCTTCTCCTTTTCTAGGGCTTTCAGCCTCTCTTGTTCTCGTTGTCTTTCCCTCTTTTTGTTTTCTTGCTCCCATAAAAGATCATCCTGCTTCATGCCATCACTCTCTTCCACCATCGCTGTCCTAACGACACCAATACCTTGGTTTGAGATCACTGAACTAGGGTATGACAAAACTGAAGCTGCATTAGCTGTGTGCGTAATTGCAGACACAACCCCCTCATGGTGGCTTCTCTGTCCGTCCATTCCCTCCCTATCACGCTTTCCTGCACCAGAGAAAGCTCCCTCAGACGCCATCTTGCGTGCCAGTAAGGTCAGTGGGCCTGGTCTGCGTTCTGTGGCGTCGCCTGCTGGTTCAGGGCTACTGCTACGACTGTCACTACTTGAACTACCAGAGCTCGAAGAACTAGATATGCGCTGCCTAGACGGGGGCTCTCCAGGACTAGGTGGGCTCTGTTTAGGTGTGTCTGGGAGTGGAAAAGAGAGTTCAGGAGGAGGGGATGGAGGAGGAGTGGGCTGTCTGAGCTGCTGTGAAAGTAAAGGTATGTGTTGGGGGGGTGGCTGCTGCTGTTGCTGAGAGCTACCAGATCTTTCCCTCACCGGTTGGCTTTTTGGAGGCTGTGCTCGACGACTCCGTTGAGCATTGGCGTTCCACTCCTCCTCATCGTCATCATTGTCATCCCCGCCTTCACTGTCATCATCACTCTCAGCCGGTTCATGGCTTGAAGTTGGTCCTCTTTCACCAACAACCCGCACAGATAAAGAAGCTATTGCGCCAGGCTGGGCAGGTGCGAGGGGGGATGGCTGCCCAGGGGTTTCTTTTTCTGCAAGCTCATCACTCTCACTCCCAGTCACCCCAAATCCCCCAGCCACTACTGTACCTCCTTTGTGTTGGTCAACTAAGGAGGGAGCAACATCCTGGTGGAAATATGTGTTGGACACAGAAGGTAAGTTCAGGACCCAAAAGGTATTTTTCTTATCCAAAGTAAACACAATCAGGAGAACATTTAACCGTACCTTGCATAACTAAAAATGAAATAGACATTTTGTAAGAATTTGTGGCCCAGCCCAGAACAAACACTGTAGCAGCAGGGGATTGATAATATTTCTAACCTGGTTAGGGGCAGCACAAATACTGTCATTGGCCTCTGTGTGGTCTTCATGGTCTGTTCCTTAAAAAGAAAAACAAATAAATAAATAAAAATAAACCATAACAACAGACATGTTTACAGACTAAACAGCACTTTAATTTAGAAGAAATGTTAAAATAAATGTTAGTATTTCATCATTAAAAATAGAATATTTTTTACATATGTATTTTGTATATACACACATGTATATACATATTATCAATGTAAGTACAAAGAGAACTATCTTTTTAAAATTAATGTGTAATTTTAACAACTAAAATTGTTATAAACAACTTCATAATTCCCATCTTTTCAATCAATCCTTTTCATAGTACACTGATTTTAATGGTCTCTGGAAAACCAAATACTGTAATTCAGTATAGAGTAAACTTATAGGACAGGGCTGCCCAAACTCGGTCCTGGAGGGCTGGTGTCCTGCAGAGTTTACCTCCAACTTGCCTCAACACACCTGCCTTTAAGTTTCTAGTATGCCTAGTAAGAGCTTGATTAGCTGGTTCAGGTGTGTTTAATTAGGGTTGGAGCTAAACTCTTCAGGACACCGGCCCTCCAGGACCGAGTTTGGACACCCCTGTTATAGGAGATATATCACAGAAAAAGTTTATTCATCATCATCATCATCATCATCATTTAACAAAACACTCAATGCAAAAACCATTTGTAATACCAAAAGATTACACATTAACCAAAAAAACTAGCATATGTTGAGAGTACTTGTAAATGATCAGTGTTTCCATATTTCAACTTCACCACCATTTATACAAGGATGCAGCATTTTTGCTGGTTAAAAACATTACACACATGCAGCTTCAAAAAAAGAAAAGAAAAACCACTCACACTGGTACAAGTTAAGTTTATTTGCACTATTATCATATACTCACCATCTGTTTCAGCTGCCTCTCGTGCTTCTCTCTCCAAGCGCTGCCTGAGAAGCTCTTGCTGTTTGGCCAGGTACTGTTTAATGAAGCTGTTCTGACTCATTTCCTCGCCAATCTAAATTGAAACACACATGTAATCCAAATGGTTACAGTTGTTTTAGAGCAGTTAAGCCATCCACACAAGAACAAACAGTAAGATGCTTGTTCCTGCTGTAAAACAACGCAGTTCAGCTCACCCGGGAGTTAGGCTGCAGGCCAATGTGATGAGTGGAGGTTTTCTGAAGGTTCTCCAACATGAGAGCCTGTTGCACATGCAGAATGACAGAAACACATACTTCATTATCTACACTAAATACTTATGCACACTTCACAGCAAAGGTAACAAGTAGAGGTCGACCACGACATTCTTCTTTACAAATCCTCGTTTTGTACTTCTAATTAGTGTCCGTTGTTTTGTTTCGATCTCTCCGCGTGTCACTTCTGAGCCTCGCATGCGCAAAGCTGACCTCATACGTCATTCCACCTACTCCACTTCGTAGGGCACTTACGGTCGAATAAGACAACGCGTGAATGCTGCCTGAACAAGAAGCCTCCTTACTGAAGGGAAAGTGTTGACTAGTGTCACAATCTCGCGAACGCGCCGGCGGATCGCCACCAAATTCGAGGGATCCCTTCAGCTCGAGGAGCCCTCTCGAACGCCACCCTCCACGCGTCGGTAACCCCCCGGGATCGCTAGATCGGTCGGCGCCGGACCGCGAATTTAACCACCCGTAACTCCCGAACCCCGAGGGCTATCCACGCGGGGGTGTTCTCATTCGAAAGAGGGCCTCTAGACGTACACTCGATTCACGTTCGAGAGGGTTCCTCGAGCTGAAGGGATCCCCCGAATTTGGTGCGGATCCGCCACGCCGTTACGGAGATATGGCCGTTCAGAGTTTCAATGGTTTTCCGTAGACTTAAGCTTTAAAGCATTTCATGCAGCTAGCGAGAGACCCCCGACGCTCGGCCTCCGAATCACGGTCCTCGGACTCTGCGGAGCCGAGAAAACAGCAACTCCCACTCACCCCTTTGAGCCTCTTGATGAGTGCATTCTTCTGTCCGCTTTTCGGAAGCCCTCTCTCTTCCAATGCCGCTTTCAAATCCGCCACCCGGAGCGAATGGAGCGGCCTCCCGTCCAGCGTAACGTCTTCGAGGTCCGCCATCTTGATTCCCTTCGCTCGTTCTGTAGCTCGCGAGGACCGCAACGCCTTCCTCACTGACGTCAGCGCGCCACGAGCGCTTCCGGAAAAGGCGGAGTGGAAGCACGGAGAGAGGACTTCAAAGTTGTTTGATGTTTTACAAAGTAACAGGCAGTACACCTGAATTCATATGCTTAAACCACATTGGACATGATTGAATTGCTTCTTGTAAATGTCCGTTTCAACATAAAATCATTGCAAAGGCAAACAAAGACGCCATAATTAAAGCCTGCCCGGTATTCAGCTGTTAATGCTGTTAATTCGCATGAAAACCGTTATAAACCTCTTGTTTTGCGTTTATATTCTAGATATAGTCTTGTCTATAATGTGCATAATCATTAAGATTTATACTGAAATTAGTCCTCCTGTATTACCGTTTTGTGCATTAACCTTGTTAGGTATTGCGCGTTACGTTCATATTCTGGGTTAATCTGCTTGCCAGTGCATAATATGCATCATTAATATAATATATACTGAATTTGGTCCACCACTGTTTGGTCCATCACTGTCTAAATTGCTACATGAATCCACGTTAAGCTTTATGATGTCCCACGTCACGTCGTATGTAATGCCACAGTTTCCACTATAGTGTGGAGAATCGTGTTTTTTTTTTTAATTAAAAATAATAAATACAATATCGAATTTTGAAATTCTGCGTACAAATTAAAGCACGATTTATTTCAGCACATCGGTTGTCCGTTCGTTTTAGTAAATCAGTTTTTAAAAATCAGCTTAAAATCAATTAATTTCGCAATTACAATCTTTGTAATTTTACATTTCTGCTATTAGGCTATTAAAGTAACCTTTTCGTCCCTTCAGTAACAACCTCTGTATGAATCGGACATGTACCGGCTCTCGCTGAGTCGTTGACTCGACTTACTGATTCAGTTCATTTCATTAACGAATCGTCTAGTCAGATTCGTGAACAAGACGTTTAGATCGGGTTTGTGAACAATGTGAAAAGATCCGATCAAAAAGAAAGATTCGTTCACGAATAGGACATCGCTAATATGCAGAGCCCCCCCTGTGTCAGAGCCTATGCAAGCGGTTTATTGAACACAGCGAGCAGCTCCCTTTGAGCTTCACGGCTCAATCGAGATTATTTCCCATCTGGTTACCGACGTAGAAAGTAACTACATGCTGTTTTCGACGAAAGGTGACAAGTCCAACTAAGAAAAGGGTAACATTTTATTTAGAATGACATTTTGAATGAAATAATATTTAAAAGCGGAGGTTACTCGTTTGTTTTGGTCAGCTAGCAATCTGACGTTAGCATGCATAGTGTGTCGTAACAAGAAAGAAAAATATAAGTGTAGCCTACAGTGTAAATACATATGGTACGATGCAAAAAGAAAAATAACAGTTTTATAAAGGCTTTGAACCGATGATGTATGTTAAAATGCATGAACGTGGCTTATTCAATGTTTCAGTTTGTGTAAAAAGTTATTTTTAGGCATCCAGTTTCTTTTAGCGCTATAAGTTTTTAGTACCATCAATGATAGTCCCGCTGAAATCCTCCTTTTTTTGTCTTTATTAGAAATGGCCTGGTTCCACCAGGCTTTACAAGGCTCGGGCCAGCCAGATGGATCCATGATGCCCCCTACAGTGGAAGATCTGTCCCATTCTCAGGTCTCCAAGCACACCATTACACAGTTAGGGATGTCTGATGGGCAAGGTTGGTCAACTCTTCCCCCAGTTTCCATCACAGACTTTCCGCCTGCTTCAGGAGGCATTGTTCCCCAACGTCTGGAAGCACTGTCCTACACATCCCTCAACGTGGGCTCCAGAGAAGACTCTGTGCCGCTGTCTTTCGTGACGCTGCAGGAGCAACGATGTGTACTAAGTTGGTTTTTAGGATGGAACGCTGTCCAGAAGCAACGCTTTCTGGAAGATCTGATTTCAAAGGCTGTGCCTGGAAAGGTGTCCAGTTTATTAGACCAACTCAACACACTGCAGGTGTTTTATTTTGTTAATTTATGTGAAACTTAATGCCCTTTTCTTTGTTGTGTGATTCTCGTACGTAAAGGAATAGTTCACCCAAAAATGAAAATTTGCTTACAATTTACTCGCCCTCAGATCATCCAGATGTAGATAAGTTTGTTTTTTCATAAGAACAGACTTGGAGAAATTTAGCATTACATCACTTGCTCACCAGTGGATCCTCTGCAGTGAACGGGTGCTGTCAGAATGAGAGTTCAGACAACTGATAAAAACATCACAATAATCCACAGCCTAGTAATTCACACAACTCTAGTCCATCAGTTAACGTCTTGTCAATTGAAACAAATTCATTATTACGGCATTTTAACTTTAAACTCTCACTTTCGGACAAAATACTAGTCCATAATAACACTTCCTCCAGTGTGAAAGTACATCTCCTGTTGTCCTCTCACATCAAAATCCACCAAAATATTTGTTTAGATCTGTTCTGGATTATTTTCACTTGTTTTGTTGTTCACTTGATTTGTGCATATTTCTCTCCTGATTCAGATGAGACAGCTTTTTCACTCAAGAAAGCAATATTATGGAAAGAGGACTCGTATATAGTTTAGCAGGAAGCAACAGGTTGAAGTTAAAAACATCTTAATAATGAATTTATTACAAGCATGCCTTTCACTTCACAAGACGTTAATTGATGGACTTGAGTCGTGTTGAATACTTATGGAAGATTGAGATCAGCTGTTTATGGATGTATGTATGCATGTATGTATCTATCTGACATAATCAAATAATGCTAAGCAGGTTCATATGTATGATAACATGGATATCTTCTTTGTCTCTGCATTTCAGGTGAATGATCGCCCACCTAACATTTTTGAATGCCAGTTAAGGCTGTGGACTCAGTGGTTTGATTCATGGAGCGAAGAGGAGAGAAATGCCTTTTTGAACAGCTTAGAGGAGAAGGATCCAACCTTTGCTGCATACTTCTATAGCCGGGTTGCTGGAACAGCAGGCAGAGATTGAGGGTCTTCGTACAACGTTTTTTGTTTGTTTTTTCACTCTTCAAAATGAAACTGAAATCAAGTCTCCTATACAGTTCTACTGTTAAAAAGAGTTTTGAACAGCAATGTTTGTTATGCACGTGAGTGTAGTTTTCAAGCACTGTTGAGCCTGTTTAGATGCAAAAAAAAATCTTGTTATAAAGTTGTTGGTTTTTTCTAAACGTTTTTCTAAAATAAAAAAAAATAAAAAAATTCATTTCACTATTTATGATTCCTCTGCATGGATTTGATACGACAAGCTTCACATTCTCTCTCTTGATGTTGAAGGGACAGTTCACCCAAAAATGAACATTTTGTCATTGTTTACTGAACCTCATGTTGTTCCAATCCTGTATGTGTTTGTTTGTTTCTTCTTCGGATAAGAAGATATTTCGAAGTATGTTGATAAGCAAACAGTTCTGGTAACCGTTGACTTGTCCATACCACTGTATGGACAAAAACACTGAGACATTTAGCAAAGTATCTTCTTTAATGTTCCAAGTAAAAAAGTAAGTCAATATGAGGGTGAGTAAGTTATGGCCGACTTTTCATTTCTGGATGAATCATACTTTTAAATGTTAAAAAAAGACACCAACATATTAGAAAAATATTTATGTTTTTCAAATATAGATGATTTATTAAAATGAAAGATGCCATTCAAGCATGCAGTTGAGAGTAATAACAAGCAGAAAGCATTTTCTTTGGATACAAAAACATACTCCTAATATATGGAGATCACTGCTTGAGCCAACCGGTGGATTGAGGTTGCTTTAAGATCATGGAAGGCTCATTTAAATAAGTATCACTGCAGGTTTCAATATATGGATGGATTTTTCCCTGCAGCACATTGCCAGTGAAGCTAAAGATTTCAAGCTTCCTCTCTACATCATAGAAAGTTACCTTATTATTTTTAAAATCCAACTGGACCCCAATTACAGAAAGTGCATCAGTGTTTAGTTGAACCTTCCTGTCAGCCATGGCAAAAAGTTTTGAAGCTCTATTCTTCAGAATAACCCAGTAGCCAGCTGAAGGGCCATATGTCAGAATACCTTTTCTCTGAGCGGACGCCCTGGCTGCACCCACAACATAACAATTTTTTCCATTCACACCTATTTCCCAGTAATGTTTTCCAGAATCATATCCGTCTTTTCCCAGAGCTGCAATAGCTGTGTCGTAGCGCTCAGTAGTGTCAGGTACAGGCTGAGGGAGTAAAGAGGTACGTGCTTCTTTCTCATCCTGTGAAATGACGAGTCTGCGGTGGGCAGTGTTTGCGTCAAGCTTCGGCCATTCTGACGTGGGCACACAGACAGACGTTTTTTAGTTTGATTGCAATTTTATTATTGACTAGCTAATTGTTTTTTTGTTTTATTCTGTATATTATAACCAGACTGAGATCACAAACTTACCACTCTTAGGAGGTTCGTTTTTTCCTATAATTTCTAGATAAAGAGTCATAAAAGAAATAAATCCATATATTGTTAATTGTGAGAATAAAGCTAGTAATACTTTTTGCTTAGATAAAAGAAATATCTCACCCTGAAGTTCAACCACTTGTTTTTGAGTCTCAATCAGGTTTTGTCTAAGTTTCTCGTTCTCATTGATCACACCTACAAATATTTTGAAAATATTAAAACCTCTCGGATTACCTTCTACAGATACATGCAAAAGATATTTGGTCCCAGGCCAAATTTAATTTGCGTTGTTCACTTACTGTATACCGAAAGATCATTGTGCCCCACTCACCATTTAATTTATTTTTCTCTTCTTTAAGCTCGGCCTTTGTATCAGCATATTGCTTTTGCAGTGTAGCAACTTCATTGTCCTTCTCCTGGAGTTCCTGGTCCTTCTTAGCAAGTTCTTGTTTTTTTGCTTCTAATGTCTTTTCTAAATCTGATGAAAAAATACTTCTTATTAGTCTTAGAAAAATTTCAAATGAACGATCTGAGTTTTGAATACAATATAATGGACCAAATTATAAAATATAAAGCTGTAGAGTACATTTAAATCTGCTGACTGGGCAGTGTAAAAGCATGTAAAAATAATACTGGACATGAGAACTTTATCATGAAATGGAGACTATTTTTGCTTCTGTGGTATTTTGACTGTATTGTCATACCAGAAATTTCTTTCTGTAATTCATTTTTCTCCTCTGTAACTTTTTGTAGTTCCTTTTCCTGTTTCTTCTGCTTGTGAACTAAAACAGAGGGCAAGAAATAATTATATTACTATATGCATATGTGATTATAATATGTAAACAAACAATGTTTGGGCTAATGACTTTTTTACAAAATGTATGATTTGTTTTATCAACAATTCTGTCATGCATTATTCAATGATTTAATTCTTACTCAAGTCTTGATTTTCAGCATTTATCTCCTTTAGTTTGGCTTCAGTGTTAGCAAGTTGCTGGTCCTTTGTTTTAAGCTCTGCCTCTAGCTCTGGACAAAGAAAGTTAATATCGAGTAACATGCATCAATTGTGTAATTTGTAGATCATTCAATGTTATCGGTAGCAAATCTGATTGACAATACTCTGAATTTGACCATTTTTGAACCAAATATTCATCTGAATTTAAGCAGAGGATGACTTTTTACTGACCTCTGTTTTTGTTCTTTACTTTTTCAAGCTCGCTTTTCATATTGTCCCGTTGCTTTTCTAATATATCAATCATTTCATTCTTCTCCTTCAGGTACAGATCCTTTTCAGCAAGCGCATTTTCCTGTTTTTTCAATTGCTTTTTTAAATCTGATCACAAAATGCAATTCGTTAGTAACTTATAATAAATGGTCAAATAGATTCAACCTTGGTATAATGGGTCAAATTTGAAGTTAAAGATGGTATGTCATCATGGCACTATTGTCAGTTTGTTTCTCACATGCTGATCATTGCTTTTTTCATATATTTATCAAGACCAACACGTCTAATCACTCCAGCAGTCCTAAAGCTATTGTATAGTAACTTGATAATTAATCAAGCTCATATCTTTGGTGTTTTGACAGTGTGGTCATACCAGCAATTTCTTCTTCTAGTTTCTGCAATGCATATTTTTTCTCCTCTTTGAGCTTCTTTATTTCATCATCCAGATTGTTCAGCTGTTTGACTGAAACCAAAGACACAAAGGTGAAATTCTTGGAACGACTAGTCATGCAAAGGTGACAATATATCATGAATTCAAACATAAATGTGGGGTTGATTAGTTTTGCAATGTTGTTGTCTTTATTCAGGTTTTCTTACTCAAAGCAGCGTTTTCAGCGTTTGTGTTTTGCAGTATATCTTCAGTCTTAGCAAGCTGCTGGTCCTTTGTTTTAATTTGTTTCTCTAGTGCTGAGAAAAAAACGACATGATATTTGATAACACAAAGCTATGTACATGTTTAAAATATGCATCATAACATCTTGTTTAATGAATAAATAAACGTTATTTGTGATGGTATCACAACAGTATGCATTTCCTCTGAAACTTACATGCAATCTTATCCTTTGATTCTTGCTGCAGTTTTTTTAAATTTTGTTTGCTTTCCTCAAGCTCCTTTTCTAGTTGTTGTATCCTGTCCTCTGTTCATGAAAAAAGGAGCATGTATTAGTAACAACATATTAGGTTAAAAAGCAGAGTACATATCTGGTAGGAAAAATGCAGTTACCCATTCCTTTGGTGAAATTATTAAAGGGTTAGTTCACCCAAAAATGTCAATTTTATCATCCATACTCACCCTCAAGTTGTTCCAGACCTATATGTATTTCTTTCTTCTGCTGAAAACAGAAGATATTTTGAAGAATGTGGGTAACTAAACAGTTTCTGGTCTCCATTGACTTCCATGGTATTTTCCCCCATACTATGGAAGTCAATGGAGACCAGCAACAGTTTGGTCAGTGGTCACCCACATTCATCAAAATATCATCTACTTTGTTCAACAAAAGAAAGAAACTGGAACATCTTGAGGGTGATGTTGACAAATGATGACAAAATTGACATTTTTGGGTGAATTATCCTTTTAAAGGATGGGTAAAATCACTTCCAGAAAATTATTCTTTGGCACCTTTTCACATTTACTTACTCAGCTTATCTGACAGTTCGCAGTTAGCCCGCAACAACAAAATCTCTTTTTCTTTGTTCTCTATTTGATTCTCTAGTCCTGACCAACAACAAAAATATCTGTTTAGTAGTCTTTGTTTCCACTTTTACTCAACAATCTTCTGATATTGATGCATTTAAGATTGACTTACCATTGACTTCTTTTGCATATTTCTGTTGCATTTGTTCTTGTGCTTGTCTTAGTTTGGACATTGATTCCTTTATAGACATTATTTTCAAGGCTGTATAAATGTATAAGGAAAACATTTACATTAACACATTTGGCAGACACTTTTAACAATGGTATACAATTCTCCAGTTCATGTTCATGAGAACCTCGGTGTTGCTAGCACCATGCTCTACTGGTTGAACTCACCCAGTCCAAGCCCTTTCTCTCCAGAGCTTTGCAACTCATCCAGCAAACTATTTAATTGAGCTTCCAGTTCTAAATGAAGAGAAGAACATCGCTTATTGTAAGATAATGGATTAAATGTTTTTTTAAATGAAGAAATTAAACTGATTACAAGAGTACAGAAATGGATTTGTTTAAACTTACTGCGAATCTTATCTGAATTATCTTCAGTTGGATTTTCTTGCAGCTTCCCTATATCAGTTAGTAACTCAAGTACATCCAGAGCTGTAACAAAACATTGTGTAAGTGTGCAATGGTCTCTCTTCAAATGAAGAAGTCCCAAAACTGGTCAAATGAGGTTAGACTCACTTTTGTCTGATATGGATCCCTCAGCTTGCAATTTCTGCTTTGCCTCCTCCAATTGTCTTTTCTTTTCTTCCAATTCTAGCCTCAGTTCTGAGAAGCAGATAACCATATATTGAGAAAAAGGTAGAAAAGCATGTCAAACCCTGGTCTTTACTCCTTACAGATTTTTCTTTTAAATTCACATAAATTGAAATGCATTTTCAATTGTTTTAGGCATTCTAATGGTAAAGTTTTTGGAAAAGTGCAGTGTAGGTAGTAGTCTGTTAGGTCTGTGCATAATTTGTTCAACTGTCACAAATGATGCTCAGATATAAAATTCTAATAATAATTCTGATACTAATAAGTCATTTGAACATAATTAATTTAACCCCTCCATAGCTGA